ATCAAGTAGCTTTTGGAATAAAACACCAATTTTTTTAAAATTAAACACTATCTAAAGATTTGCATCGAAGCGTTTATTTTTGATAGTGATTTTAATCACTGTCAGATATCATTATACTTGATCCAACTATACCACGTCACAACTGTGCCGCGACCCCCCTGTGCTGGGTTTTGTTTATATTAATTATGCTGTCAAAAAAAAATTAGCCACTTGTAGTTCATTTAATAGTAATTTTACAATAAACAATGTTAAGAAAAAATTAAAAACAAATGAAAAATCTCAAGTTGCTGAACTCTAAAGAATAAAAGATAAATTTACAAGCTTTGAAATAAAATTAAACAGTTTAAACGACTCTATTTAAAGTATGCTATCATCCATTAATTCATTAATAAAGGCTGATAATAAATTAATCAGAAAAGAATTAGATGATATAAAAGAGAAATTATTTGTACTAGAATCTACTTATAGTTCATTAAATTCTGTGTCTTTTGACTATATCATTAGTAAGGCACAATCGAGACTTATTAAAAGTAAGAATAATGTTGTTGTTAATACTTTGGAATCATCAAATGAAGCGTCTGAGACAACTCTAATGATATCTAAAGAATTAATACATGATTTAGATTCAACTGTTAAAATTAGTAATGTCAAACGTATTGGTCGTAAACGTGCCGATTGTAAAAGCCGACCTTTACTTATAGAATTAAATAATATCAATGATGTGTTAATATTACTAAAAAAATATAACAAAATTACACTTGTTTAATAAAAGCAAGAATGTCTGGTTAAACTTTGATCTTATTCGGATGCCACAAATTCGAATGAAACAGTTGTGTGAAAAATTACATCGTAAGGGTTCATCTGGAGATACAAATGCGATAATCAAATATGTCAATTGTATTCCAATTATTTGCCAAAAAAAACTAGTTAGTCATGGAGATGGTAAATCAAAAAGTTGTTTTTTTATTCTAATAATAATTCAAATAAAATTTTAAATATTAAAAAAATTAATGTAACAATGTAAAAATTCAATTTATGGTTTTTATCAAAATGTAAGAGGTCTTCGTACTATATTAAATATTTTAAAATATTAATTTATATTAATGCTGATTATATTATGATTTCGGAGACATAGCTAAATATGAATGTTTCAGACGCTGAATTAGGTTTAAATAATTTTAAAACCTTTTGTGTTGACTGTAGTGTAAAAACTAGTGCATGTCAATGTGGTGGTGCGTTATGATATGTGTGCATAAGCGCTTTTCAGCTGAACCGATTTCAGTTGAATTTGCTACTGTTGAACAAGTATTTGTTTTAATCAAAGTATTCTTATTTAGTGAGCTCCGCCGTTTTTTTGTTTTGCCGATTCCATAGGCTCAAATCGGGTACTTTTCAAAGCAGATTTTATCTTTGGAAACAAAAAAAAAAAAAATCGCACGGTGCCAAATCTGGCGAGTACGGCGCGTGTTCGAGCACTGGAGTACGTTTATCGGCCAAATACCACTTCACAGATAGCGCGTTATGGGCAGGTGCATTGTCCTTGTGCAAGATTCACGAGTTGTTCTTCCACAATTTGGGCCGTATCTTACGAACCCGTTCTCACAGTGTTGCCAAAACTGACAAATAGTAAGTCTGGTTGACATTCTGACCCTCCGGAACCCATTCAGTCATCACGATACCGTTAATGTCGAAAAAACAATCAGTATTGCCTTAAATTTTGATTTGAACATCCTTGCTTTTTTGATTCTGGGTGATTGAGGCGTCTTCCAATGCATCGATTGCCACTTTGTTTCAGCATCGTATTGAAAANCAATCAGTATTGCCTTAAATTTTGATTTGGACATCCTTGCTTTTTTGATTCTGGGTGATTGAGGCGTCTTCCAATGCATCGATTGCCACTTTGTTTCAGCATCGTATTGAAAAATCCATGTTTCGTCGCAAATAATAATAATGTTTTCAATCAGTCTGGGATCGTCTTTTAACCTTTCAAGGAAATCTGAGCAGACCTATTGACGCAAGAGCTTTTGGTCAGGAGTCAGGTTTTTTGGCACCATCTTCGCACAGACTTTTGTCATGTTCAATTCCTCGTGTAAAATTTTACTAACCGTTTAAGCGGATGCTCATTCAACGATCTTCACGCACAATTTGGTCGATTTTGGTCACTGTTTCCGGAGTTGAAACAGTG